TGACAATTTTTTTTTAATCTAAGTGAAAATATTGAACAAACACTATAGTTAGGAAGAAAAATAAAAATTATCAATTATCATCTATTTGCTATATAAAATATTCAAGTTAAATTTTATGCAAAAATCAAACTAACACAACCAAAACAACTTGGAGGGGATAATACTTTAAATACAAATTTAATTTAGGTGTCAAAAAATTTCCCTCCATGTCAAATCCCGACTCCACCACGGTCATGCTTGAAAGGCTTCTTCAAGAACCTCTTCACTCTTCATTGTTTCTCTTTGCTCATGGGCTTTATCTCTCTAATGAGCTTAGAAATGGTAAGCTAACTCAAGTCAACTCTTCTATAACTAAAATCTTCAATTCAAACTTGCTTCGTACATTGAACTATCTTATCAGCAACTCCTTTATTTAGAAATCTTCACCCAAAAATCTAATTTGGTTGACAATGTCTATCAACTTATTTGAATATGGATGAACTTTCTCTTTCATGATTAACTTTTCAAACAACCGTTTTAGTCTAAGAAGGTTGCTATCTCTTTAGTTTGTTGGGTTTTTAAGAAGGCACAATGAAAGTGAAAATACAAAAATTTCTTCTTTCAACATACCTAGGACCTTATGAATTATTGATAATTATGGAAAATTAGGATCCATATCTCAAAGAAGCATGCCTCTTTGTTATATAGCTTTGATTTGTAACTTTTTGCATGAAGCTTAGAGTCCAAGGGTAGAATCCCTTTAGTGATGATCCATATGTGTGGTTGGGGATTTGAAGAATACTAGATATTTAAAGGAGCTAGCAATTGAAAATCTACTTGAGCCTCATTCCTCTTGGTAGAGAATAAATTTAGTGGCTTAAAATTCTATGAGGCAAAAATTAATTAGGGACATTATATTTTCCATGCCTATTTATATTAATAAAGAATATGAAGATTTACTATTCTAGTCCAATTAGAATTGTTAAACTTAGTTTTTCAATCAAAGTAGAAAACTTAGAAGGAGAAGACTTTTCTTCCCTAATGTTTCTACCTTCTTGCTTGACACCCTAGTCCATATTGGACTAGAGATTTTGGCTATGGCTCCAAGCCTTTGATGTTGCCTAACCCTAGTCCAATATAGGATAGGTGATGAGTTGAATTTTCATATATATTAATGTGAAATTTTTGCCTTGATATTATTGATATTTGATAAGTTTCATGAGATTTTACATGATTTTACATAATTCTCATTCTTTGCACAAAAAAAGAATTCAATTGGAAGAAATCAGAATCATTATGACCAAATTGAAGAAATCAAAATTGTGAGGATAAAGTTTCAATCGATGAAAGATGAGGGACCAGAATAGCTCTGCCCATAAAGAACCAAAATTGCATTTTTGCCAAAAATTCTCGATATGGACAAGTTGTTCCTGGCACTTAGGCTCGGGAGGTCAAGCCCTAGGCAATTTTTGACAGTTCACAGTTAATCTCTTATTACTTTTGCATAGGTCTCGTGTCTATTCTAATTAAATTTTTTACATTCTCATAAATACTTGTTAAGATCATAATTAAGAAGCTTTTGAAAGCTCTTTTTGTGGCACTCTTGGAGATCAAGTTAAAGGTGATAAAAATTTATCATTAAAAAAGTTAACATCCTTAGATTGGGTTTCTTTTTTCTAAAAAAAAAAAAAAAACTTTAATTTCTTTATTCTAGCATGAATTCTTAGTTTATAAATATGATTTTAGATTTTAATACTTTTATTATAAGCTAATTTAACCTATTAGGGCTACGATACAACCTAATCAATTTAATCTAGATTTTGTAATTTTTATATTTTCAATTAACGTTATTCATGTAATGAGTTTTATTTATTTTTAACTTAATGCTTCAAAAGATTGATTACTTTTTGATTGATTATATGATTTATGTAAGAACTTGAGAAAGAATTGCATGAATTAGACAAATAACAATATAAGCAGTGTGTTAGATTAAAAGACTAAGAGGTAATTTTTGCATTATATGTAGTAGTGGAGGAAGAGAAGAGAAGAGAATTAGGAGCTTCCACTTCTTAAGCTTCAGGTTTCCATATCATTTATACTCACCAATTGGTTTAGAATAGGAGTCTATTTACATACAAATCTTACACACCATACTTGCACAAAATCTCAACCTTTCATCTCTCTACTTTCAGTGGGTGAGATTTATTTATATTTATTAAAGAAAATTATTTTTTTACCTAAGAAAAGTCATGACAAATCTCAACTTCTGAAAGTGAAGAAATGAATGGTTGAAATTTTGTGTAAGTATGGTATATAAGACACGTGAATGGATCCCTTCTTTTTATTTTAAATTACATATAAATATAACTAATTTAACAAGCAGAGGAAGGATTAATTTAACTTGAGAACACTAGTTAGTTAATTTAAAGAAACTTGCATCACATTCAATAATACTTAAGGTCTTATAAGTATATTAATCTAGAATTTATATTGATTAATTATGATGAAATTCAATGCCTTAAAACCACATAACTTTGGTTACTTCTATTTTAATTATTTTTTATTTTTTTATTTTTAATTAGAATTTCTTTCCTTTTAATTTATTCAAATAAATCTTCAATTAATTATTTTTTGAACTTAGTTAATCACAATCCTTTTGGGTTTAACACTCTAGTTATCATTATAGAACTTAAGCAACTGGTTTGTTAGAGTGAATTTAGTGCATCAATAGGATTTTAGCCCATAGGTCCTTTAAGAACTTAATTGTGACTCTTGGATTTTCTTGTTCTTAACTTTTAGCAAAACTAAACTTGAATTAATTATGCAAAACTAGATTAATTTATTTCTATTTTAAAAATAATATTTTCATATAAATTAATCCATAATCATAAACTTAGATTTATAAAAATCCCAATGCCCATAACGCACTAAGTATGTAACCTTCTAGATTTTTATCACGATGGTAGTAACAAACACTCATAGACCAAAAATGATACTTAGTAACACATCATGGCACCCAAAGTGAAAGAAATGTCGATGGCTTCGACAAGCCTTCCTTAAACTGATACACTTTTGTAATTCATCCCTTCATCATTGATATTTCCATCATGCAAAATGCATGCTATGTGCCACTTAAATCTTGATGTATTTTCTCTTATTTCCAAGATAAACTAACTTAACGAATGGACTCTTCATTCTTGCTATGGCCATAGACATTAAGTAGTCTTATCTCAATATCAAAAGGCCTAAAGATCTCTTCTCTCATTAACTCAAGAGAGATGAATCCTATCTTGACTCATTCATTATTCTCTTATGATTAATTGATATATTTAATAACTGCATTACTCGTAACCCCTTGTAATGGTTGTTTTTAATAGCATCAAAATATGTGAGTTCTCATGTAGAATAATAATGATCTCAAGTTAAAGGATACTCTCATTATTTGTGTCATAGTTGAGAAGCTATTAATGACACATGCCTATAGTGTTCTCATGGCTGGTTAGTCCAATGCACTCACTTACTTTGAGTCACCCACTTGTGGTACATGACTTCGTGAGAATAAGTCTTGCCACCTACTTAAGTATCACACATAATAATCTTTACATCATTAATGTCCCATTTAATGACATATATAACTAATGGACAATTTAAGAATGCTGCTATCACATTATATGCATTTTAGTGATGGAGATGATTATTGTTACTTTTTCATGCAACAAAAAGTTTAATTATTTTATTGATGTTTAACTTATGAAAAAAAATAATAGTTAATATTTAATAAAAAAATGTCATAAATATAAGGATATGTGGAAAATCAAGACGTTTACCATTAAAATTACCAAGACATCAAATTAAGACCATTTATTAAGTGAGGACACAATCAGAGACCCACTTAATAAATGATCCTGATTGGACGTTTTCCTTTTTCCAACCTTTATCTCTTCGTTCATATCATTTTTCATAAATGAACAGCTTACACAAAGAATAAGATTCCAGAATAACATTTAATGTTTGTGTGTTCGCTACATTGACATTGCCAACTACACTTTATGTCTGAGACATCTAAATCTCCAATGTCCGACAAATTTTAATGTCAACACAATAGTTTACCTAACACATTAACTAAAGGAGAGTTGCACTTTTAAACGACAACCTATCTCTAACAGGTCAGACGGCCAGAACTCTGATGTATCTTTTTTTTTTTTTTTCTTTTTCTTTTTTCTTTTTAAAAAATTTATAGGTAATTTGTTACAACTAAGGGAACTAAATGGGAAGGAAATCGGGAAGAGGTTGGTAGGACTTGAACACAAACATACTGGATGAATTCCCCATCCCCAGTGGCTAGAACTTATACAAATGGCGTGGATTTATTCCCGAGTTGTATCATAAAAATGAATCCATAGGATTCACCAATGTATCTAGAACTTATATTATCAATCAGTGAGGGACGTTGCATGGGCACGATTTACGCTAACGTGAATCACGTTGTTGCAGTATCAACAACAAATTCCCGAGTTGTATCGATCATGTCAATGAAT